TAAACTACCAAATTGATCATTAAAAAACAGGGGTTGGTGATAGAAGGATAAAAATTGAGGGTTATATGTATTTTTCAATGCTACATCATAAAAAAAATTAAAAAAATGTGTCCCAAAATTTATTAAAAAATATATGGGGTGAACACCCTTAGGGGTATGAAAAAAATTTAAACCTATATCCTGGTTTTTGTGTGTCATCTTGAATCTTTTCGACTAGAGACTAATCACTGATTATGATTTCCGCAGTAAAATCTAGAAACTTAAAAACAAAATCCGAAAAATCATAAAATAGTTGAATTTCATTTTCAATTTAAATTTCAAATCGATCTTTGATGCTCGTTGATTCCACTAAATTCCACTGATATAATCAATGAGTTATACGTCACGTCCAATATATTTGACACAATTAAGATGTTCAGCTGCTAATAGTTGATAACAATATTCACTGTATATCATTGAGATAAATTAAAAAATATATATATTTCTGATTCCAATTATTCTGATTACTCAAAAATTATTATTTTGAATCGTATAAATTTCATTATAAAATAATGATCATATTATGACTTTTTAAAGTTATGGTCAGAAATAATGATAGGGGATATGATTTTTATTTTTGTTTCAATTCCATATCCTGCTGAGTATTTTTAATGAAATATTCAAGGAAATTAATACCGGATGGCCATGATGCGTGAAAATAGTTGATCATACCGTTATCGCTATTTCAAGTTCGTGTCTTGATGAGGTGCATTAAGGTCAAAATATGCATATTAACGCGACCTCGGAAGCCATACTCTGCGAGGAAATAAATATGATTTGAACAATTTCGTTCGGAGTAGTACTTTGTTGGTTCCAGACGGAATGGTTGCTGTTGTCATCGATCTCTTTACAGAGTATGTACTATCAATGAAACTGCTGTTTAGAAAATGATTACTACAATATAGACAGTACGCAAATATATATACATGTACATGTATATAAAAATTGAAAGTGAATGCAACAAAGACTCCAGCAATGATTATTACAACCAAATTTAAATATTATGAGTGGACTGATCAGTTATTTGATGGAAATTAATAACACTGTCCATGATGATAATTAAATAAAAATTGTTTAATTATTATCATGGAAATTCAAATATGATGGTTTTGTATTATTGACGACATAAAGTTGAATTTCAACAATGAAAGAATTTAATTTGTGTCAAATGTTCAGTATCTGGGTCTATGACTTTCATTGAAATTTTGATTACATTCATGAAAAATCTTGAAATAATTATTTTCTCAGTCTGATATCTCGAGAATTATCAACTATATCAAACTTACTGTTTATAATTCAATCATCCAGTCAGAGTTTGATTATTGCTCTTCAATTTTGTATTTATCTAATTTCTGGTAATTGAAGGTTCTATTGCGAATTGAGAATAATTGATTATATTTTAAAAACAAATCAGCTCGTCCGAATAGGATCAACACCAACGACGCTTGGATGGTTTTTTGATTAAAAAAGAGTCTGACGTTTATAATTTTCAATAAAGATATTCAGTGCGTGTAACAAATGTAGAAAATATAATATTCATATAACCAGAATTACATATCGCATTATAATGTCCTCTTTTTTTTACAATAATTTAATGAGTTATCAATGTCTAAACCCGTTTAAAAAACAAATAAGGGATGTTTTCAATACCGAACAATTTTTGGAAATCATACAAAATGAACAGTAGCTGTTTTAGGTAAATATTTATGCTGTATTTGCCTTTTTTTATTTTTAAATCAGAATGTATTGATATTGTTTCCTTCTTATGATATGTGTTGGTATTTAATTTGTTCATTAAGAAATCCAAAATATATTTAATGTTTATTTAGCTTCAAGAAGATTACTTATTGTCTTGAAATTGTATTTAAGATAGGATTCCTAATCCAGAATAATGTGTATGTTATTGCTTATTGATACAAGTTTCAAAATTGTATAAATAACAATGTCTTAATTTCAATTTTATACACAAAAAAAATACAATTTCATGCCTAATAGTAACGTGTTGCTAACATACTACCTTATTCAATACCTTTTCAATTAATTGCTCTTCAACCAAATCCAAAATACTTCATAATGAGAAAAAGAAAAAAAAAAGAATTTACATAATTGTTGGTTAGGAAGTTCAGTTCATTTAAAAAAATTATTTTAGGAGTAATAGTGTTGAGTTTACAATAGTTATCCTGGATCTGAAAATTGGTTCAGGTCTTAGGTATACTATTACGAATAAAATTACCTGGGGGACAAAAATCTCACTGATTCTATGTCTGCTAAAAGGTGATTTCAAGGTTGAAGATGAAAAGTATTGCCTTTCAATTTTCATGGTGAATGCTAAATATAAAAATAGCTATGACAAGCATTTAGATCATGCAGTTATGTACCAATATTATATGTTTTTCCTTGAGATATCGCGATTCTAAAAATTGAAAAAGTCGAAAAAGAAATACAATAGCTGGGGACAGTGCATACGGTCAAACAGCACAAATAATGACTATCATCATTATACGAATTACGATAACTACAAAAAATGAGTTTTGCAGATACCCAAGAATAAACTTTGCAATTCACTCCATTACGCTGAGCTTCGCCTCCCTAGATAACTGTCAAAATTGGATATATGCCAAGTGCTCACTATATTTAATGATTTTGTGTGTTTAGTGTAGAAGTACTTATTTAAACTATATCCATCCAACAAACAAAGCAACCCAAACAAAGATAGATGCGTGATCAACGCATGATCACCACAACGTTTGCATCTATTGGGTAAAATAACAAGCCTCCTTACTCTGGCTAATCAGATTCAACTGCAATCGGCTGGCGGAATTTATTGTACACTGTCAGAGTGGTCAATTACGTTTTAACGCATGTGGTATTTACATATACGGTATTTTAAGGTTTAAAATCTTTAAAATGTCAAGTACTGGTACATCTGAAGAAACTGTTAATTTGTGTCCCTGTACTCCATCTAAAAAAAATTCCTATGCCCAGCCGCATATTATTAAAGAAAATCGGTCGTTCTTCATAGTGCGACTCTGGACAAGCAGCCTTGTCTGGGAGAGCACGTGCACAATGCATGGTAATGTTTCGGAGCACTCCTTTGCTTAGATGGACAGAGTATAGTGTGTTTGCTGAAAATATACGTCGTTTAAGTGTTTTTGCTAATCTTAGGACAACACGAAACAAAAATGCGATCCCAACCTTAGAAGTGATTCACTACGTAAAACCAAACCAACACAATTATAATAACTTCCCTACATATCGGATTGTGAGGTGAGCAATTGCGCAGCAATTCAAAGTCTTGAGATGATCATTTGAGTTGTATGGTGTGATGAGTAATAATGTGTACAAAATGGTTAAGGTAACGACAGCTGATTAACGGGCGACAGCTGATTAACAGAAAAACATATTTTAAACAGATTTTTTACGTATTCATACGATCAGGACTAATATCGTATCCGTCTCATTAGCTTTCTAATTACCATATCATATGTCTTTCTGAAATTGAACATCAAAATGGGTATAGTGAGATATCCTTGAAAGATAGACATATGTCATCGCGGATTTTTGTAGACATATAAAAAAAGGACAATAAATTGATAAATTCTACCTTCCTCTTGAATCGCTCCGTCCATTGGAGAAAACTAAGAAAATCCGTTGGGTATTTTTTGAGTTTCTCGCGTACAGATAGACAGACTTGGCATAAGGCTTAGTTTAATGCCTTATGTGTCTTTTTGACGCATTGGGTAGTTATATTTAATTTGAGAAGCATGACCTCGACGACGAAAATAAGAATAATTAAGAACTTCTCAGTCACATTTTTAAAATGTAGCCAGAAATAATCTGTTGAATGGTTAGCTTGTTAGTAATAAATAAACTGCCTACAGTGAATTAATTTTCATTACCGATTATCACCTTGTTTCGTTATCGTCTAGCCTTCAATGACACCTTGATCAAAATAGACGGTTCGTTGATTTGAAAGGTAGTGAATGATTGAGAAATCAACATGGATCGTCATTGTTTGAAGTATTGCAACGGAGCCTTTATCGTATTTCTTATCAATTTTTGGTATTTTGATTTGTTGATGTTGAAAATTTCACACGTTATATACTGTGACAAGTAAGAAACCTTGGTTATGTATGCAACAGTAATTTTCATCACGAAGAAATTTAACAAATGATGATGAACATTTGGAATTCGAAACGTCGGTCGGACTTCTGCAGAAATAATTTGGTAATTATTTCGCAGTTGGGATCACCATGAATGTTTATTTATTTCTTTGTTACTCACTTATTTTTCTCCGCTGATCACGTTTGAAAACGAAATTTGACTCGAGCATCATTATTTGGAGATGGTCATCCGGGAATCTGATTATCTGATCTGATTAGGAAGTCACTTTTGTTAATAAAAACTCTAAAAATGTCACTTTTTTCACACTCGCACGATGCGGACATTCATTCACTTGTCATCTCTATTTTTTTACACAGAATGTTTTAATTTTCTTAATAATTTGTATTTAGATCAACTTCTGTTTGCAACATACATTAATATGATACTGTGATTCATAAAAAGACTTATTTGCGTAAACATAGCTTCTCACCTGATTCTCATTTCCATTGATAAAATCAAAACTAAATAATGTTTCAAAATCTATCAAAAAATATTTTCAATACTTTATGTCAATTAAGAGACCACCTTTACACACAGTATTTTATTACCAAATCAGCTGAAACAAATTACCAATGATAAGGTATGTCACACAAAAATTAATTATTATTATGAACTTAATCTGTTGAAAAATTAATGGCGAGTGGATTGGCTGGAAAAATCCTGGCCAGACTCGAATAATTGAAAATTTAAAAACGACTTTTTTATATCTATTGTACTAATTTTTTTTTAAAAATTTTCCTTGGTAATATTTTTCTTTTTGGATAATGAATAAAAATTTTCAAAGATATATTTTCTTTTCAGGTACAGACACAAAGCCGTTGGGAGTAAACTAGTGCGTATAAACGAAAGTTTACACTGAGCGCAAGCCTACCCACCACAACGGAGAGCCCCAGGCAAACGGGGCCACAAGCTCGTGTTTCGGGGAAGGACAACGCTCCTTCCACCAAGCGACGCTGGGTCCCACCTTCAACTCTGCGACAACAAGATGCCCTCACACCGGAATCTCGTAATGACCTGGTGTTCCGCAGGGTGAGTTTGCCAGACACTTTGATTTTCCATATGATCATCAGAATATTACCAAGAATATCGATATCGGCAATATCGAAATATTACGAGAAGTATTATTTTGGTCCAAAGATTTGTGTACATATTGAAAAGTCTCGGGCCTTACACATAGATGGCGCTAGTCTTATTGCATTAACCCCTTTGTCTTACCTAACCTAACCCCTTTTTCAGTTAGTACTAACTTTCTAAAGTAAACTGTTATGTGTATTTGTAGAGTAGGTAGGGTGAGTGTAGACCTACAGCACTCAGGCCACATGTGAGCCATTGTACATCCTCCCGAGGAGTTGTCCTCCTAGGTCATCGTTCATCCTGTCCCTTCCAGGAAGGTGGTCAGGCCACTAGGAGACATCTTCTTTATATTGGTAGGTGTAGGCCAAGACTCGCCGAACACACACTCTCTTTGGCAACCTGGAGGTGTATCAGGGTGGCCTCCGCGAAGGTTTTGAAAGATGCAGCGACATTACTGTCGTTGCGCGGCTTCTTCAACCTTCTTGGGGTTCCCTCCGTGGAGGTGCACAAGTGAAGGGGCTTTCCTGCAGGGGTAGCCGGTTCCGTGCCTTAATTTGAGGCGGAGCTCTTGGCGCGCGCCGTAGGAAGTGCCCTTGCTGTTGGAGGGGGAGTGGGGGAGAAGGAGGGTGCACTTATAGTTGCTGCCACTCCTGTCTCCTTCGTTTTCCTTCTCCTTTTGGCTTCGGCGCCGCAAATGCGCTTACGCCTTGGCCTTTGTATTACATCACGAGGTGATCTGCTATGTCCAGCCTTATATTGAGGTGAGCACTTCTGTCCAGCCTCGGGATTGGTTTTTGTGTTTGTTTCATTCATGTGTGTTCCCACGAGTAGCAAGGGAAGAGTTGGTCACCTCTGGCAGAGCCCCGCATTACCAGAGGAAGGCTGATTACAATGAGGTTTCGCCCAGTTCCCCAAGGGAATCGTTCGTAACCGCAAATCACCCTGCGGCCATTCAGCTGTCGGCACGATTCCTTACACCTTAGCTTGGCTAGGCTGGTCCACGGTGGCATGTTTTGTAAATGCTTTTGGGGAGTTTTAGTTCCCCTCACCCTACTTATTTCTGCCACTGACCAGGAGTCCGCCGACCCCGTCCGTAAGGCCACATTGGCTTCCCGGACAGAGCCTCCAGTCCCCGTTCCCCTATCCTCCACCTGGGGACGCGCCCGATAGGTAGCCCTACCCACGGGGAAGTAAACTGTTGAAATTTAATGGTATTCTACTCATTAGTTTGTGGCTTATTGTGCTAAGATTGACATTACTTTTGTTATTTTCAAAACAATGAATCAAAAACAATTTCGTGTTTTAATTTTACACTGCTCCTTGATAGCAAAAAATACCGATCAAGCGTAGCAATGGCTTGGAAAGTATTATAAGGATTCCCCTCCATCAGAAACAACAATTAAACATTGGTTTGCTGACTTCAGACTTGGTTGTAGAGACGCCGATGATGCAGAACGCAGTGCACGTCCAAATGAGGCAGTAACACCAGAAAACATAAAAAATCCACAAAATCGTTTGGAATGATCAAAAAGAGAAGTTGCGCGAGTTAGCTGACATTGTTAAGATATCAAAAGGACGTATTGGCTATATATTGCACGAGCACTTGACTATGAGAAAGCTCTGTTCAAAGTGGGTGCCGTGCGAGCTCACTGTTGACTAAAACAAGAACGTCTTGATGATTCTGAGCAGTGTTTGGGAAATACCATCAACATTAGCGTTATTGAAGCGTTTGAAGGCCGAAATTGCAAAGAAACGGCCGCATATGTCAAAGAAAAAAATGTTTCATCAAGAAAACGCACCGTGTCATGAGTCAATCAAAACAATGGCAAAACTACATGAATCGAACTTCGAATTGCTCTCACATCCACCGTATTCGTCAGATTTGGCTCCCAGCGACTCCTGGCTGTTCGCAGACCTCAAAAAAATGCTCACCAGTAATAAAGTTTGCTCTAATGAAGGGGATATTGCTGAAACTGAGGACTATTTTGAGACAAAAGATTAATCGTTCTACAAAAGTGGTATTGAAAAGTTGGAGCGGTACTGGAATGATTGTGTGGCTATTGATGGAGATTGCGTTGATGAGTAAAGTCAATTTTGAAAAAAAAAACGGGTTTTTTTTTTTCATAGGCTCGCCACTTCTCAGCCCAGGTGATAGATGAGAGAGATGCCTCATTGAAAAATAAAAATCTTCTCAGATAATTTAAATGAAAAATAGAAAATCGTATCTATTACATTCTTGTTTATTTATTTACTTATTAAGATTTATTTATTCTTCGTTGACACAAATTATTGGGTTTGTCACCATTACAAAAAAAATCACATTCCTTGGACTTGAAATATTATGTCATACTACTATCTGTAGTTTTTTATGAACTAAATAAATCAAATTACACTACTTGCTATTGTATAATAATAATACTCAACGTCTTCGTTATTTTCACTTATTAAAAACTTTTATAATCTAATCTAAATATGACACACTATAAATGAAAATAAAAGGCGGAGTTCATTTTTTGCAGAGACTGGTCTCTAAAAAAACTGCTCTTCCACTCAACCTTGTTATATATTTTTATCAGTATTGTTTGACAATGAGTTTGTGCAAATTTCGTACAAATTGATGAATAGAATAGAAATTTATTCATCATTAAAAATTTCATACATGTAGTACATACAGATATAAAACTTTATCAGACTAGTCAGAACAGAACATAAAGCAACTGCCCTTATCTATAGTTACAATGTCTATATACATCTTAGCAGTTAAGTGGACAGACATATGAAAAAGATGCAAGAACGGTGATTAGCTTAATTTAGTTAAAATTGTATATATCTATATATTTGTACAAGTAAAATAAAGTAATTATACAATAATACCTAGAGTTGTAGAAATGGGGTCAAATAACGTCCTTGTTAGCTTTTTCTCAGGCATTGGAAAATGTTAATTCCTTATGTTTTTATTATTAAGCTGTTGGTCCTATTTTATGTTTACCATGAATAAATCTAACTTCATCTATTATTTATTTAAAAACACAACGGTCAATATCCTCATAGCAGGAATAGGAATAGCATGTGAGGAATTCGAATATGGATTTTGTGTGTCCAAGGAATATACTTTCCATAATAAATATTTCGTGAAACATTAAAATGATGAATTTTTCAATATTTACATACTCGGTTAAGCATTTAAATACTGTTTGCATATCTCCAAATAGTCTAAGCTTCTGTTGTTTAGATTAGAATAGGTATTTTAATATTATATATTTGGCACCATTTCTTATTAGAAGTGTTTACTCACTTTGGTGAAAAATATCACTGATTTATCCAATTCTTTCCTTTCTTAGAAATCTTAATCCAACAAATTCCTATTTATACTTTATATAAAAATATTCATTGTGAGATAAATGAGATAATTTGATACATTGTTTATCAACTTTTTCAGATACATATAAGGCTTTGGTTTTCAGAGCAAAGTTCTTGATTTATACTGTTTATTGATATTCAGCTCCTCTTTCATTAAAAACTGTTGTATACAACATAATCATTATTGTTACTACTCTTGTTTATGTAAGTTTTTTCTACTAGTTATACTACTAGACACTAGATCAATAGACTAATGGATTGCTGCTCCTCAACGAATTGTTCAATGTCAGAAAGTACAGCTGATTAATGGAAAAACAGATTTTTAAACACCCGTACCTTGGACCTAAAATATTCAATATTCAATAAATTAGATACTTTCATAAAAGATTCTAGCTGTTCATCAATTTTCAAGTCAAGGTTGAAAGCTTACCTCATCAAAGAAATTTTAAGAAGTTCCTGAGGTACCCACATTTATGTATTTTAATTAGTTCTAACTACCAGGTCCTTTGTGGTTACATTGTTTTTGCTTTACGAACATCAAATGACGTTTTCCTTGTCACTGCATATTATTTTTTGTTAAAAGAAATTGTGTACTTTTTAACGAGAGAAATATTATAATTATTATTATTCTTCAGGTTCGCGGCATCCTCAACAAACTCACACCAGAAAAATTCAAGAAGCTGAGCGATGATCTGCTACGCACCGAACAGCTACAGTCAATTGTCATCTTGAAGGGCGTCATCTTTCTCATATTCGAGAAAGCCCTCGACGAACCCAAATACTCGTCTATGTATGCGCAGTTGTGCAAACGACTGTCAGAAGAAGCTCCAAATTTCGAACCCGCAGATCAGCCGTGCACCTTCCGAGTTTTACTGCTCAACAAGTGCAAGGTAAGTTTGAATATATTACATTTTATTATACATATTTGTCTTTCTTAACATACACGCCAAGATAGCTCAGAGGGAGCAAGAATTTTTTCTACTCATTTAATAATTATCGTTATATTATGACCAAAATCACACAAAATCTTTGTAAATTGTAGCTTATACGTTATTCTGATGTATAAGCTATATTCATGTAAAGTTTCATCTAAATCCGTTCAGTCGCCAAGAGCCACTAACATACATACATACATTTATCCATCCTCACTAACTTTCACATATATGATATTAGTATAGAATAGATTGTACTGGTGTACAAATCATTTGAATCAACTATATTCAGATTGTTTTATAGTTCTATTTAGTTTTTTGAATTGACGTAATATTATTTATGAGTACTTGAGAAGAGAACAAGGTTGATTTAATAATTTCAATCTTCATTGTATAAAACCTTTCGCATTATAGGTTGAATTTGAGAATCGTGCTGCTGCACTCGAATACAATGGCGCTGTCAACCTCTCAGAGGAGGAGGAGGAGCGCCGACAGCTCGCCAAACTCAAGATGCTGGGCAACATCAAGTTCATCGGCGAGCTGGGCAAACTGGAAATACTGTCGGAGAGCATCTTGCATCGTTGCATCAAGGAATTGTTGGTCAGGCGTGGGGACGATCCCTCCGAGGACCTCGAATGCCTCTGTCAGATTATGCGGACCTGCGGCCGCATCTTGGACACCGACAAGGGTAAGCTTTCAACAGAGTATTTAACAGTTTCGTGCTGTTGGCGTCAAGTTTAATGATTCAGTTAAATATTGAAACTTCTGTATTGAAAACATTCATTATGTAATCAATTGAGAAGAATCTAACAAGTACTGTAGAATATTGCTGTGTTCTGTTATTTGAAGAAAACAACCTTCGCCACCTAGTGCCCATTTCAACGTGTGTGGGGATACTATATAGAAGAGAGAAATCATACAATTTTTAGGAATAATGAATGAATGAATGGTTTATTGAATAGGGGATGCTCCTAATACACAATGAAAACATAAAAGAGTTCTCCACATGACATGAGGTTTACTCTAGAATAGATCTTTTTTCCTTTTTATCAGATTTACAACTTTATTTCTTTGTCTTTTAAATGCTTCCCATTTTATTGCAATTGAAAACATTTAAGACGCAAATTTTTTAAGAAAACGAATTATTTTGACCTGAAATGAAAATGAATTAATAAATGATGCTTGATGAAATGAAATTTTATATCCACTGATGATATTCAAACAAATATAAACAATAAAATTTGAATATATTTTGCATTCAGAGAAAAATAGAATGGTCAGGCGTGTGTATACTAACACGCCTGAAGGAACTATTGTATACCGAAACACGTGTTGCCCTTTCCTAAAACTGAAAATCTCACAATGAATTGTTTCTTGAATAGGTTTGTTCAACTTAGCAAAGATCTAACCTAACCAACCATCCAGTTTTGAAGTTATGTTTATTTTAGCCATTATATTTAGAAATGAATATTCAGTTTTAAATATTCATGTTGATTTTTTTCTATTTTTAATTATTTATTATAAACATGAGGATGGGTTTTTGAGATTATAATATCCAAAGCGGTATATTCTTAAATGGTTTTATTTAGGTTACCTTGTTTGTTTGGGTCAAATTTAGTAATTGAAGTTTGACCCCTTTCTGTTGACATATTGATCTGATATTTGGTACACACATTTAGTTTTGATGACAATACAATTCAAATGACAGGTCTTGACTAGTACTATAGTAATACACTATGAAAAAGATGCAAATCCAATATAATTAGAAGCCATAAACTTGAAAATAAAGTAAGGAAAACACATTTTTTATGTGGAACGGTTTTATGGAAAAAAAAGATAGTAGTAACGATATAGATAATGTATTGAAAACTAAAAAATAATTTGAAAAATCCTAGGTAGCAGTTATCACACCACTCTCCTCAGCAATCTACGGTATTGATCAGCGTAAACTGAGTAAATTTTTAAATATGTTGTACGCCCAACAATTATTCATATTTTTAAATCAAGACTGAAAAAGATCCTACTTAGTAAGTGTTGTTATTCCGTAGACGATTTCTTTTTATGATAATAATTTTTTATTTATTTTTAAACTATTTAATTGATGTTTTTTATATATACATGTATATGTAAATTTGTATTGTTGACATGTCCTTGCTCAATGTAATGATGTAACTGAAATATTGATGTTTTTAATCATTTATGGTAACCTTTGTGTATTCAAATGATGAAATAAAGGAATATTATTATTATTATTATATTATTTTTCATCTTATCAATACCGTAAATTGCTGAGGCGAGTGGTGTGATGGCTGCTCCCTAGGACATTCCTAATTTCTCAATTTTTAAATTTTTGAATATTATTAAACTAAAATGAAATTTTAAATAATATATCAGGCTGTGGTGACAATTCTAATTTACCTTTCTTTGTAATTATGCTTTTAACAGTTTGTGGTGTACTGGATTAATAAAAAATGAATAGGTTTATTTATTTTTAAGCAATTACAATAGTTTATATTAAGGATCTTACTTGTTGGGTTCATAACTCAACTCGAATGCTTGACTGGTTTCAACAATTAAAACTTTTTTGATGTACAATTTGGGATTTTATAATAATTCTGTAGTGTACTTGACCGATAAATAAAAAATAAATAAAAGTAATATAATCAAATATCCATCCCATCACAAGTCACCGGCTTCAGAAAAATTAATTTGGGATAACTCATTCTTTTTATTTTATTTTTGCTGGCATCTTTAGTAGGGTTGATTTCCTCTTCTATGTTAATTTTGGATTCGATTCTGCAATCTTCTCATAAAACGGATTTTGCCTTCTTAACTATTTGTTCAATGTTATTGTTAATTTCAAAAATAAAAAAAGCGAAGATTTGGATGGTTTTAATATGTTTATCGTTAAAATATGTACTCCTTTTCTAACTGAACCACTAGCCGATGTTATTAACGCGTTCTTGACGGAAGGTGTTTTTCCCGAAGGTATGAAAAAAGGCAAGGTGTGTCCATTACATAAAAAAGGAGATCCTTCATTGCCAAGTAATTTTAGACAAATTGTTATTCTTCCTGTTTTCTCAAAAATACTAGAAAGAGTAGTTTACAATTCATTAATTAGCTTCCTTAATTTAAATAATATATTAAGTCCTTACCAGTATGGATTCAGAAAAGGTTTGTCTACAACTGATGCCCTAAAATCTTTGACTGAATACATTGAGAACTGTTTTGAGGAGAATAAACACTGTTTGGGAATCTTCACTGACATATCAGCTGCATTTGACTGTGTAGACCACCAGATTTTATTATTAAAACTAAACAGATACGGGATACGTGGTACCTGTCTTAATTTCTTCAAGTCATACGAATCTCATCGTAGCCAAGCAGTAGTTGTTGACAATGTCATGGGTTCGTTTATGTCTGTAATGAGAGGGGTGCCCCAGGGTTCTGTACTGGGACCACTCTTATTTCTGATATACATAAATGATATGCCAGATTCCATATCCTGCAATAATTTACTAACAAATATGTTTGCCGACGACACAACTTTCTGTATACAACTTGAAAAGGGGACTGATCATTTACCTATTTATTAAGATATTATGGCACATGCTAAGATTTGGATTACAGCCAATGATCTTTTTTTGAATGAGACCAAAACCCGTTGTGAAATCTTTAGTGTAAATGGTACAAATAGTTTGGTTGAAAATGAGCACATAAAATTTCTAGGTATATTTTTAGACCCACAACTGAGGTGGACAGCCCATATAAACTGTTTATGTAACAAGCTGTCGCAAGTGATATTTGTACTAAGAAAAATATGACATGTCACAAACATGGAAGCAACAGTATCTGCGTATTATGCATTGTTTCATAGTCACTTGATGAATGGAATACAGTGTTACGGTAAATGCAGTATCTACACATATTACGAGAATTTTCACATTGCAGAAAGCGGCAATAAGATCTATTTTAAATGTACCATGTGGGATACCAGTTGTAGAAAACTATTTCCTTCATTAAAAATCATGACCGTCTACTCACTGCTCATTTATCAAAGTATAATAACAGTCATGTCAAAGATAAATGAACATGCAACACACTCCTCAATTCACCCTCATGATACCAGACATGCCATTATGTCGTCTGCAACGAACGCAAAGAGACGACATACAGCTCTTCAACCTTCTTCCCACAGAGTTTAGGAATAGACCCTCGACGCAATTCAAAAATCAGTTAAAACAGATACTATCCAATAACTGTTTCTATAGTATACTTGAATTCGAAACATTCATCAAGAAAAACAGAAATATCTTCATGACCCACAGGAACCTGTAGTTTTATTTATACTGATAGCACAATTCATCATTATCTATATACATACTTTATATATTTATAATATATAATGCCATTGTTTTTATGTATTATTTAGCTTTTCTATTGCGTTATAACTTCTATTTTTTTATCATTAACCAATTTTAATGTATGACCTTATATAAATTTTTAAATGTATTTTTCTACTGACCTGTCTATAAACTTTGTTTCTTGAGACCAATAAAAATTATTATTAATAATAAATACAAAAGCAAGCACTTCTCTCAATCACCAGAACTGCAATACTCTTCTAGAATCCATCTAGAAAAGAATTGCAGTTCTTAAGACACCATTCAAGTTGACCAAGTTGGCGTCTTAAGGAAATGGAGAAAATTCTGGTTATTGGGAAAAGTACTTGTTATTGAAAATTAGCATAGTTTAATGAGTGCTGAATAATAATTCTGATATGAAAACTGGAAAGGGTTGGACCATTTTTGAATTACCAAGAGTTCAGTTGCTAGATAAATAATGCTAGATGTTAAACTTGTAACTCAAGTTTTCATTAGGTCAAAATGATATAACTTCACCAAACTGTCTGTATATTTTTCCATCACCAACATTTCTTCTTCAAGGTAAAAACCTCATGAACCAATATTTCCAAAGAATGAAGATGCTTACTGAAAATCAAGACTTACAGCCAAGGATAAAATTCATGTTGAAAGACGTGATAGATTTGAGAAATAATGGATGGGTGCCGAGGAAGGCGACTGTCGTGGAAGGTCCGATGCCCATCAACCAGATCAGACCGGTCGAGGAAGATCGTCCGGGGTATCGCCGGGAACGTAATCACGAACGAGAGAGTGAACGTTCCAACACTTCGGAACTGTTTCGTTACCCGATGAAGACCAGAGGCGGTATCGATAACATGCTCATGGGAATCAATCTGACTCAAACCACCCCTACCTTGATTCCTACTGTTCCGCCGCCGTTCGGGAGCCACAACGGATATGGAAGTCAAAGGGACGGAACATACCGTGGTCACAACAACCAACGTAGCGGAGGCTACAACAACTCCAATAACCAGAGAGGACAATACAAGCACAATCAGAACAACTCAAACTCTCAGTTCAATCGTAAGTTTATTCCTTATTGTTTTTGTTGAGATTGTTGGTATTCATGTATAAATTCACTCCTGTTATACAGTATGTCATATTCAGCTTCCATTAGGAGTTTAGAGATTAATGAGAGAATATTCTACAATGTACTATAAAATGTACCAAGTAGAAAAGTAGTGTATCAAAGTTGAGTTTATTCAAGTTAAATGCTTTCCATATATTCCATATATGCTTTCCGTGCTCGAATTCCATCAGAAAAGTACTTCCAAAAACTATAGATTGTATGCCAAAAAGTGATCTATTCAACCATCTCCTTTTTTTATTGTAAAGAGTTTGTTTTGTTGTGAAGATATTTGAGAAGTGTAGTTTTTTCAATTTTGGTTAATAATTTGGCCACAGTTTTATTTTGTAAAAGTCACACATATTTTTGTTGATTTTTTCTCAAATGGAACAGTTTATGTTATTCTAGATATAATGTCTCTCTGTTTTTAGTCTAAGATGAAACATCATCATGATAAACCTTGGATTATCCAGCTTTATATTTAAGTGGCCCAGCGGTCTAATTTTAAATCTAATTTATGGTGCCAAACCATATTGAATGTGCTTTTTAAATAAGAGCTCAGTAACATTTACTGAAGCTGTCACTTCACTGGTAAATTGAACACATGAAACGAAACATAAAAATGATTTTGCGTATCCCATTCACACTAAGGCATTGTATGAGCGTAACACCATCTATCAAGCGATGAAATTCTATAACAGAATCCCCCAAAATATACGCAACATTGAGGTTGTAGGCAGGTTTCTGAGGTCTTTGAAAGAATTCCTTCTCGATCAGGAGCCCTACAGTATTCAGGAATTTTTTCAAAATGTGTAAAAATGTAAAAGTTCCATTTGAATAAAATGTCTGTAGTCAAAAAATTTTAGTCAGTGTATGATGTATCTAAAAAAGTGTGATGTATTTTAGTTTTTTTAGCATTTACTACTATATATTTATTTTTTTTAAGCTCCTTGTGTGATTTTTGACAGTCCATATTTCCTGAAGTGTATGTAGATTTGGTATTTTGTATTTTTTTGACCTACTTTTACAGATGTTTTCTGCCACTGTGTTCATGTAGGACTACAAGTACTCTGTAAAGTAAATAAAGATATCTATCTATCTAGTCACATATCGAATGAATGGTGGATATTAATTGTTGTATACACATATTATTCTTCTGTTTTTTTTTTATAGAATCCAATAAGGATGTTGCTCCTCGTTTTAAGAAGAGCAACCTCATAGTGGCCAAAGACGAAATGTCTGAAGTTGAACTGAGACCGAACTCGATGCTGATAACCAAAGCATCACTGAAAACCAACAATTTGATGAATAACAGAACTTTGGAACCCACTTTTGCACCTCCTAGTATGAAACAGCCGCCTACCAGTTTGCTCAAGGACCCTTTGCCCATAAAACAAGTGCCAGCTGAAAAGCCAAAACAATCAAAAAAAGACAAGGTGAGTTGATTTTTTTGTTTCTCATTCCAAGGGAGTTAGTTATGGTGTTTTTTTCTTCCAGGGTCCAAGTATGGCAGAGGTGTTGGAGAAGTTCAATTCTTTCATCGATGAATATTGGAAGGGGGAAATAGATCTCAAACAGGCAATTAACTTTTATAAAGAGCACAAAGTTCCTGAAAAATTTGGCAAGTCGGTGATCCTCAGTGGTTTGACCTTTGCACTTGAAAAATCTGGTAAGGAAGAAATGTTTTTTCTAGTTTAATAGTTTGAGTGTCTTTATCAATATATATTATAGATCCCTATACAAGGTCTGTTGAAAAAAATAAAGTGAATGTTCAAATTTTGCGGGCTACACACATTCGATTAGCGATTTTTTTTTATGTTAGTACACTCCTCTTGAACTTATATTCACAGTTTCAGCCGTTACTGTACGTAAATAATGAGTGATTGTGGCAGAGAAGTTTGAAATTTTCGTAAGAGTGTCTACATACACACAAATATTGAATGAGGTCAATAAATACTTTAGTATTTGTAGATATTTGTTCAGAATAGTTCATAGTGAGATAACCTGAGTATGGACGCATCTAAGGAAAGTTGATCTGAGATAATAATAATAATATTTATTCATCCTCGAAAGACGTTGACAAACGTATAGGATAGGTCAGTATTAAGCAGATAAAAATCACATCAAACGATAAAATTGTAGATCAGTAGATAAAAATAATACAATAAAAATTTATACAAATGAGTCAGAATTACAAAAATTAAAACAATTGTAGTTATAAAAATTGAATATGTCATGCCAAAGCATGTATATCAATCTGGATAACAATGTGTGAAATTATGAATCATATACCTAAACCACAATATCGCTTTACGAATATTTACAAATGAATTATTACTAAGAATTATGGAGTATGAATAGTACAACTATGATAGCGTGTCACTGAAATATTCCTCAAGGTGGTAATACGGTCTAACAACCAAAATATTTTTTACAGCTTTTCTGAACTGCTTAAGAGATATAATGTCTTTAATTTCATCAGGTAAATGATTGAATATTTTCTATCCATTGTAAATGAATGAATCTTTAAATAAAGTGGAAGTCGGTCTCGGAAGTTTAATATTATTGTCTTGTCTAGTAGTGTAATGAACTTGGGGTGACCCAAATCTGTCAATATGTTTCTTTATTAATGTAACAGTTTCAAAAATGTATAAAGCCATTACTGTTAGAATTCCGAATTGTTTGAATAAAGAAGCAATGTTTTAACTGCTTTTTTAAATGCTACAGTGTTCATCTGTTTGAAATGGTCTGGTAACCGATTGAATAATTTTATTCCCATATATTTGGGAGAATGTTCGAATTTTATAGTTTTATGTTTAGGAATGCTCAACTTTGCATATCGAGTTGGGTAGCTATGATAGAATGAGTTCTTAGTACAGTCTGTTATACATAACTTTCAATATCTCCAGGAAATTAATTTGAATGAAGGGGGTCTGTATACATATATTACAAAAAGATTCAAATCAATGCAACTTATCATTGAGAAATGTGTTCGAGCAATTTATTGTAAGTGGAAAGTGAATCATGAGTAAATCATTTAACACCCAAATATAAGGATGTGGTTCCATATGGGTTCCATACGGATGACACGTATTCAAGATGAATTTTAACCAGAGAGCAATACATGCATTTGATATCAGTGAAGTCTGAGGTGCATCTTCTTGGGAAGCTAAGCATTTCCAGAGTATGTGGGGTTGAAACGAAAGTGAGTTAGTTGTCCAGAAGTGAACCCGAGCCTTTTATTTCATTATATTCAACATTATTGAGTGAGACTTAATTTAAAGAATAAGAGAATGCTAAAAGATTATGTTTGCTGCTAAAAATTATGGAATTCCAATAACGTATATTAAGTTCCATACTATTGACAGAACACCAAGTAGTAAGTTCAACACAGTCGTCTCGTGAATCGCTTTTCTTGTAAACTTTTAAATCATTTACGAAGCACAAGAACTCTGCATTAGAAAAGCAGTACTGAATGTCGTCTATAAAAGCATCGAACAGCAATAGTCCCAAATGAAATCCTTTGGGCACAGCAGACGGTACTAAACTTCCAGAAGATTTAAATTCGTAAACTCAAGTTATCTGTATCCGATTAAAGGAATAACTTTGTATCCAAGACAGGAGTTTGCCACAAATTCCCATATGGTCAGGTTTTTGTATTATTCGAGTATGGTTGATTTCATCAAACGCTTTTGAAAAATCTACGTCCAAGACGTTTGAGAGATAATCTGCACAGACACGATTATGGAATTCTGAATTCTTTCTTGATTTGATATTGGATTTTCTTTTTCTGTTGATTATGAAATATAAACAAATTTGAGTCTTTTCATTATGATTTTTTTCCAAAGATAATGAGTTTGTCACTGCATATAATTTTGGTTCTTCGAAGTGTCATCTGAAAGACGATAAAGAACTTTCAATGCTTTCTTATATACAGTGGAAAGTTTATTGAGTATTTTTAGTGCATAATCAACAATTATTCAAATAAATAACTATTTCATTCAACTAAGAATATGAGAGTCCTAAAAAATGTTCACTACTTCTTTCAATAGCCCTAATATATTTGCGGATTATTCATTTTGCTCATTCTTTTTTTTTAGATGTGGAACAAGAAAAACTCATTAAATTCCTAAGTAACCTGAAGGAGGATAATTTGGTAAGCAGCCACAATGTGCAGGAAGCATTCAAGTCGCTGTGTAACGTATTGGGAGAGACAGAGAATGATATCACTAAAGTGACGAATTCTGCTTCAGTTCTGTTCGCTACAGCAGTATGTGAGCATCTCATACCCTTGTCGGACATTGCATCGCTGACAGATAACGGAGCACACTATCCTTTGTTCTTGTTGGTGTTGCAGCATATTCATAAGAAGAGGGGCAAGTCTGAGCTGTCAGAGTTGTTCAACAAAAGCAAGGTCAGTTTTTTTTTGTAAACTTTCCTTCATTTTTTTCGTTACTACAGGTGTTAGTTTCAAGTGTCAATTATTCAGTTAGTTGTTAGATGTGTTGGTAATTATTTTTTTGGTAAATGAAATTTATAAACTAACTTTAGGGGATAGTATCCCATGGTTTTTTTTGGAGAGGACCCCGACTTTGCTGATAAGTTATTCCGATTACTTGGAATATCGAAAAATGTGAGCTTTCACGGCCTGAGATAACTATATGAAGGCTATTTTTCGGGTTTTCTGCCCGTGGTCTGCCCTTAAAAATGTCTACAACAGCAGTTGACGAAACAGGCATTAAAACCTGCAGACCAAGGCCAGGAAAATCCGAAAAGTAGCCTCCATATACTTTTAATATGTTAATTAAATTTGTTCAAATTCTGAGGTTCATCATCTGATAATTTCGAGATTGATTAGCTCTGCAACAAAACAAATAATTTTTCAGTGAATCATGTGATATAATTTGAGATTCAAATCAATCAATCCATATAACCTTCATTATTCAAATAACAAATTCTTCAAGATTGAATGATTTTATTTAAATTTCCATTCAGTATTTTCACAGGTATAGAAACGGTCCAAATAAAGGAACTACAGAGTAGAGTAGAGTTCATTCTGTTATGTGGCAATTCAATAATTGTATATATTCGTCAAAAACGTACAGACAAAAAATTGGGGCACCTGCAAAAACAAATTTTAAGCCTTTTCAAATATCAAATGAGATATACTTTGTGACTTTAAGACTCGTACATATAATATAACAAAGAACACTTAGTATAACAAATTCACAAGCTACCGTCATTGAGTCTTGTTCCATTAAAGAAATATATAAATTCTTCACTTTTATAAAAAAAAATAGATTTCAAAAAAACGTTTTGCCTTTTTGGACAATTTAACTAGGATCAGTGAGTACCACAGATACGATACGAGAAAGAAAAATAACTTTCACTTACATCCCATACTCAGATCACATCACAAAAAATCACCTCTGTATGCAGGGGCACATTTGCCTGAAAGCATGAAATCGGAAACAAAAATAAAAACTTTTAAACATACACTGAAAAAGTTCTTAATCCAAGGAGCATTTTATACTTTAGACGATTTTATTCAAAAGTGTGGCTGATTCATTTTCATCTATGTAGTATGCATTATATGTACTGTTTTTAATATGTATCCATCCAATATGTTTTAACTTTTGTGTGAAATTGACTATTGTTAATGTGTTTGTACTTGTTGTTTGTTTTTCTTTTTTTTTTGACATATCTCATGTTGTAAGAACAACCTAAAAAGACAAATATATTATCCATCTATCAGTTCCATCCACTTGTTTGGGATCCAATTGTCATATTCATTCAATAGACGAAATCTAAAACAGTTGAGATTGGTGGATAACGGAGAGTATGGCGCTATAGCAGATTTATATCTGGTTTCATATTCATTTTGAACCACACAACTGGAAAAGTTTTTCTTAGAAAAAAGGAAAGGACAAATATATTTTCAGAACTTAATTGACTCTCGACCCAGTAATCCTGTTCAACTTTCAGTACAAATATAATTATTCAATTTATTTTTTAATATAGTGATATTGAATTCTCAAAGTACATCAAATATTTAATTCTATTAGATCAATCTTATGACCCAACTACCCGAAAAGGACAAGACGAAAGAGCGGCTGACCGAAATTCTTGAAGAACGTGATCTGACTTTCTTGTACCCTCTACTACGCATCCAGGCAGATCTTACTCGTCAACTTCAAACTGATCCGAATCCTCAGTCGTTTTATAAGTGGATCAAAGAGAACTTGGAGCCATCTAACTTTAATGATTCTGGTTTCATCAATGCACTCATGACGGTGCTTTTGAAGTACATTACCCAGGTTAGTATCCACTCATACATAATAGGTTTATAAGGGGGAACCTCTATATTTATTTTTCCATTATTATAAATACTAACACCCTCAATATTCAAAACTCAACTGAACCTTATTTCGAGTTGATGAACTAGAGAGTAAATTATAAAGAAATATAACCATAGTTTGTTAAGTGGGTGTTAACAATGAATACAGTTTTACACAGTTCATAGATTACAAAATTGTGCTCTTGAACTGAGTGAGATCTTGATGAAATGATGAAGTAATTCACTTGCAGATGAAGCTTTTATAAGTAATATTTGTCCATTAAGTGTTAACTATTCGGTGTGTTTCATTAAATGAAAAACCATTAAATTGATCCCACCAAAAATGGTACATATCAAAAGTACGCGACGGATTGTGGCTGCTAATCATTTCGAGGTTCAACTCACTACACCTCGAACTTCACTGTTTTAAGAACTGTTTCATTTGGAGAACTGCGTTTATGTGGAATAATCTTCCTGAGAACGTTTTTCCAAATGGATTTAATCATTCTGACTAAAATGTGTTACTGAATGACACCGCAATTATTTCATCAACATTCAGCCAAATTTTATCAACATTGTTATATATTGGGTAACTTAGTGGACTGTTTTAATAGGTCTTTGAAAATTATCGAGTAGTTCGTTCTGTTCAGTGGTGCTAATGATTGAGAATTAACTAACAATAATAATGATATCAAAAAGAGAGAATTTAACGTGTCTGTGATTTCCTTACCTTGATTTTGGTCACAACGGTACTTGAGGAATCGGTGAATAGAGAGAGAGAGAGATAAGAAACTGCACTTTTCCAGTACAACTGCAGTTTTATCGAGCACTTTCGGTTCTTTCTCCGGAATCGAACCTTTTATCTATATGTTCTTCCTCTCGCGGCAGACAGAAAACCACAGTCGTCTCACGATAAGAATATAAACAAAAAAAATGAAAACAAAAACTCTACTTAATCAGACAAACACACTATACAGGGAGGTGGTGACGATACAAACATTATATTTAAAATTATACACAATATGTTGCCAAATTATCTGAGTGATTAGTTAACCTACACAAGAAGTATTCATACACACTCCACTAGAAATAGAATAGGAAATTTTTATATCAACAGAGAAGTAATAATAATAATAACAGTCTAATATCTCGGTTGCCAACTTTGTTACATTAACTGGGAGATTCATACGGTCTGTGGTTGTTATGAAGCAAGATATATCATCGACAAACTTATAAAATGATGGTAAGGATGGAGTTTGAGGTATGTCATTGTATATAAAAAATAGCAGAGGATCCCAAATGGTTCCTTGAGAATCACCTAATTAAAAGTATTTCATTAGTTCGGACTACCATTGTCTAATATGAAATAAATTGATTCATATTAGACAATGGAAGTGCTAACTAATGAAATGCACTACGAAACATTGTCAACCACGTTCAAACAATTTTTGAAATCTACTAATGGCTTCGAATTTTGAAAGAAGTATTTGTTGACTCTTTTCTGTCTAAATAGACGAACAATTTCAGGGATACACCTCTAACACTATGGAGTTTGAGTTTTTTCAGTAGAATGTCATGATTCAGTCAGTCAAATGCTTCATAAAGATCGAAGTGAATTCTAACAGGATTTTCCTTATCAGTTTTATCGACCCCTCTTCATTGATTTTTGCCTCTCCGAAATAAACTTTATTTTGGTTCTTTTTGTGTCGTTTATAAGTAATATTTTTAAAATCATGGTCTACTTCTGTTTGTGTCTGTGATGATATATTTTGCTGAGGGGAATCATCCTGTAAGTTATTAGCTGATTCATTACATTTATTTGCTTGTTTTGGATTTCCTCAAAGGTAGTTGTTCGTTTGTTTTTTGTACCTGGGTCGGTTTTTGTTTCATGTGGTTTATCTGCCACTTCAATTGTTTTTGTGGGAATCTTCAATTGTTTACCATTTTTATGCTGAATTCCAAGATTTGCATTTTCAAAGTTTGTTTCCAGAGCATCTATTATATCTTCAAACATTTTAATGACAGTTTCCTGATCATTAATTATTGTATTTTTATCAGTGATAATTTGTTTCAGAAATTCATTTTCCTCTTTCAGAAATTCGTTGGGCTGAATGGGCTCCAGCTCTATTAGATTAATAATTGGCACATTACAGCAAATTTTCACTCTTGCTGCACAGCTATTATGATATACAGACTCACATATATTACATTTGAGACCTGTGTTTGTATTTTTTTAACAATAATTGCACGTTTTTCGGGACCGATCTGAATAGTGTACTTCACTGTCGGTCATATTTGGCATTTTTAGAAAGCTTATTGAAATGAACTGAGGAAGTTATGCTCTTCTTCTATGAAGTGTGATAGATATATATACCAGCCTTTCCAATATCTTTGAGAACAGTGGTAGAAGTTGCTAAAAATATTCTTAGCGCTTTTTTGCATTTTTTAATTGATCTGGGAAGGCGCCTGTTTCAAAACAGAGGTTCAGAAATATCCGAATCTATGACTTTAATTACACAACTAGGCATCCAATCCATACCACTGGAAGCTTTCGATGCCAAGCAATAGGTAAAATGCAGAAAACTCTGCATTTCTAAATTTCATGATGTTTGAGATAATCATTTGTTCTCTAGGAGTCTACAGCTAATGGCGGTGATAATGAAAAATCGATTATCGAGAAGGAAACGACCCTCTTGAAACGTTATCAACCGATTCTTCATACCTTTCTTCAAGATAAGTCAAGTTTGCAGTTGGTGGCTTTATATTCACTCCAAATGCATTTTCATTCGCTTGGCTTTCCTAAAGGACAACTGTTGAGATGGTTTGTCGCCTTGTATGACATGGAAATTGTCGACGAAGAAGCATTCCTGCACTGGAGGGAAGATGTCACCGATGCTTACGCTGGCAAAGGGAATGCGCTGTTCCAGGTAAATATACAGATTTTTCTTATTCGAACAAACAAAAAAATATCGTATTTCACTTCAAATGAGGCTCAATTGAATATGAGAGTGAGATTGAATACATTTGGATTTATAGAAATCACAATTTCAAGAAAGGTAATACTGATTGTGGTAGCTGTAGATTTATAACATCCACTGTTTCCAACTTCCATATATTTAAAATCTAAATTGAATGAAGTATAAAAATAATTGAGAGTACTAGCTGCACCAAAATAAATGAATTCAGATGGGTTGAACAATAAGTGAAATGTCAACTTCTTCAAGTGACAGCAACTGACAGTAGATACCAACAAGCAAAAAATCTTTTTTTATAATTTTAGTTAAGTTTGAGAATGTCCATATAGGACGAAACTGCAGTAACGTTAGTTAGAAATAAAAGTGCTAAAAAACATAGAAATTTTCATTTCTCTTTTCATCATGATCTACTACCACGTAGTAATGGCTACATCCATCAATTTATTATAATATAATCCTTCAAAGAAGTTTTAAAATATAATTGATTCATATCTCGTTTTATATAAATTGATACAAATGACTCAACCTAACCTCCAGTTTAAATCTCATTATGATTTACAACTCCTCGACCTACCTCATACGTCACTGAAATTTCATCCTGATAATTATTAAAGTTTCAAAATAAATGTAAATGAGTGCTTTGTCTTCTAATATTATCCAAAATGGTGTGATAACACAAGTATCTCATACCAGAACTTTGTAGTACGCCATTGAGGGTGACACTGTTCCATGTAAGCGACATTTTACATCTAACTTTTTTTCATTAAATGAGAGTTCCTATGAATGATGTTTCCATTTTTTGTTCAATGATTGAGAAATAGAGAGCCAGAAAACTTTTTCTCAAAAATTAATCTCTTATCAATTATTTTTTTTTCAATTTTAATTTTTATTAAAATATATAAGAAAATATTCATGAATTTTTTGTACTTTTCAAATTTCAATCAGCTGAGAACAAGTTCTAGATAAAAAATTCGTCCTCAGTTTTGTGTAAGAAATAAATGTACCAACCACAAGAATCATCAGTAAGAAACTTGACAGTTCTTTGAAAACTGTTTGAAATTGCCATAAAAAGATTCTCAGCAGTATTTTTTTTCTTTCAGGTTAACCAGTGGTTGAACTGGTTAGAAAACGCTGAATCTGAGGAAGAAGAAGGCGATGATTGAATCGTTTTTGGTTAGATAAGTAGCATGAAATTGCGTAATAGAAAAAGTTTAAACATATTTATAAGTTATTAAAACATAACAGGGACGTGACAGTCCTTATTTTACTTTATCACTTGTTTGAACGAAAGCAGTTTAGACATTTCATTTTAGGTTTCTGCTCCATAGAAATGATTTTGTTATGGGGTGTAAAACTTTTGTTTATACCCGTCATTCATTTCTTCATATGAGATTATGAATGAGTTGTCCATTTAAATGGACGTTGTTAAAATATTTTTCTTGGATGAATTTTCGTTCTTCATCTTGTGGGCAATTTTTATCCATCGTCAATGAACTCTTAGTGGAATTGTAAACTTAGTTTTTTTTGTGTGAGCGATGTATTTTTTTGAATGAATAATAGTTGAGTGATGTTGATCTGAGAGTTTGCTTAGATACTCGTCTTCATCAAGGCAGTGTCTCAGAAAATCAGCTTATGGGTATTTTTTTTACTATTATACTTTCGATTTAATTTTTGACTTTTTTCTCAAGATTTTGTCTCGAGAATATGTCTACATCTTTGCACTTACCACCCAGATGACTGTGTTTATAAATCTAAAAACAAGCTTTTAATTCTATAGATCATTTTATAAAACTGTGTTCTCATTCGTGTATTTTATGTCGGATCACCATGTATTTCTTGAGTATTTTTGTTACAAAAGTTAGTTAATTTTTTCTTCTGATTATACACTTAGATTACTTAATGTGTCACTAAAAAACTAAAACAATTGTACTGTGAAATCTTGTGTTAATAAAACTATTCGATGGTATTTTGCTATCGATGTCAATTTTATTTTCTCTTATTTTGATCCCAATCCCTACAATCTCCTTGCTTTTTGTAAATGTTACTAGCTAAAAAAAAAGGAAATTATCGAGGAGAGATACAATTGTATAAGATAATGAATATATAGAAATGTAATTTCAAAATATTAATCTCTCCCACTTACTTCCCTGGCTGATACCACGCTGGATATTTAATTATATCGGACAAAAATTTATTGCAAGATACCTCACAGAGGTCAGTCTCGCAGATGTTTTTCATTCATCCAGCAGCAGGACCATGCTGATCCTCGAAGCAGTTCTGATATGTCCTAGAATTTCTTATCTCCTTAATCGTCGCAAAACGTCTTCCTTTTATGGGCCTCTTCAATCTTGAGAGCGGTAAAAAATCGCAGAGGGCCAATTCTGGTGAACACGGTGGCTGAGGCATGGTTACAGTGTTGATTTTGGCCAAAAAATTATGAACAAGCAATGACAAGGTGTACTATCATGATACAAAAAGTCATGAATTGTCTTTCGACAATATCGGACGTTTTCTTTGTATTCCTTCTCGCAAGCGACGCATAACTTCAAGATAATACTCCTTATTGATCGTAAGACCATGTGGCAAGAATTCTTGATGCACTACGCCACCCTGACTTGATCAAACTTTGCATGCTTTTTTTGGTCTCGATCCTACTGTGCTCTTCCATTGGGAAGGTTGGATTTATGGTTTCGATGTCATAACCATATACCCATGATTTGTCACCAGTTATGACCCAGTTGAGCAAGTCTGGATCGCTGTTGACGTCATTCAATAATTCCTAAGCGATGCTCATGCGACGGTGTTTTTGCTCAACAATTTTGGAACTAACTTCGCTGCTACATGCTTTGTTCTCAAAATTTCTGAAAAAATTGAATGGCATGAGCCAACCAATATGTCAACATCTTCAGCAACTTCTCTAACAGTGATTCGACGATTCTCCATAATAATTTTCTTCACTTTCACATTTTTGTTGGCTGTTAACGTGCTGAACAGCCCACCTATATGGAAGATTATTTTGTACCATTACATATTCAAAAAAACACTAATGTGAGATTTCTACTTGACTGTTTACAAAACCGCGACATGTGTTCTGCTATACAGTAGCATCTTCAGGCGTCACAAAATTGTGACCATCAATTCACTAGCACCTTGTATTAAAAAATCATCAATATTTATTAACACTGATTGCAGAATCATAATAAAGTAAAACACAAAGTTGTGATGACAATTATTTGTTTTATTTTAAATTGAATAAATTACATTGTTTGTTTGAAAGTGGTTGACAATGTATCCTGGTGTATTTTGTAATTTCAGTTTTTTTTCAATAAAATTGTTATTTTTTGGTTAATCTTTTTAATTTTTCTTTCAAGGATTTCAAATTAATTTATATTAAATTGGACAATGGAAGTCCGAACTGATGAAAAATTACATTTTTATATTCATTCTCATTAGCAATGAAATATTACGCATCCAATAGATTGAAATAAAAATATGGTAATATATTCAAAATACACTTTTGTGTTGGAAACACCTTTTAACACAATGCATTAAAATATCTATAGTTCTTTTGCAACTGACCATTGTCACGCCACTGTCTCGTGACCCTCAATAAAAAAACCGATCTCTACGTCTCATCAAATCAGCAATAAAGGACCTCATAAAGGACATCTACGTGTTGAAGTCAAACAAACTCTTAGTAGCTCAAACAGGCAAGGTGATTCTAGACATTTTATTGCTCTGAGGTGCCTATCACAGAATTATGATTCTGGGTATTACGTCTAAGCATTGTCTAAGAATCCTAAGACAATGGTCTAAGTATGCAGGGTAGAGGTTAGGAGAACCATCTGTGTATCAGATAGTTAACCGAGAGTTAACTAAGGAAAGCTAGATAAAAGGGAGTATAAATCGCCGCTTGCAAATGCTTTTTAAAATCCACAATAATTCATTAACTTTCAACGTTATCTTACAGTAACTTAGGTTAGCTTATATTCACCAAATAATATTCGACTACGTGAATAGTTACATTTCTATAATTTCTAAATCATTAACGACACGAGTCATTAAAAATATATAATATTCGAACTCGGCATATCATATTCATATCATACCACCCTTGATATCAGTACCATTTTAATGGAATTTTAAACTATAATTCATCGTTTACTAGTGCACACTTTTTCAGCTAAATCTCCATTTGAGATAGACCTCTATCCTCCATGGCTCTGAGGATTGGCGTCACTGCATTCTACAGTGTCAAAAGCACAGAACAAAGATGCATCAAAATCCGGTGTTTAAACCAATTTCCTTTCGTTTTCATTAAATCTCTCGACAGGTGAAATGAGATTCCTCTAACTTTGTACATATTATGTTGATAGATATAATAAGAACCGATTTTCGAATGTGAAAGGAATATCGGAAGTATGTTGGATCTCGTTAGTGTTTTCGTCAAAATATTTCACAGAAGGTGTTCCAGTGTTTACACCGTGGTATTTCCATCTATCTTGCACAGAACTGAAACTTTCGTGTTTGTCAAAGTTATTACAGCAATTCTACCATGAAAATAGTCATATTCACCTCGCAGAAATCTGTGAAATGATATTTCATTATCCTTTGTGTTGTTACTACAATATAATACCTATGAATTCCACATTCAAATGCATTAATTGTTTACAGTTGAATTACTCATTGTGATTGAATCATTTTATTAATCGCGATACATTTTTTCAAGATTTTCAGATTACTGTCTTTTCAATATTTTATGTCAAATGTCAGTGTTGCCCATCATGAAACGCCTGAAACAACAATAATTTTTACGTGACTATGGTCTCTCTTCTCTCTTCTTTATTGGCCGATGCTTCCTGTTCAGGCGCAATTGGGGTGACTATGGTCAATAGCGCTTAGGACTAAAAATTAATGATAATAGAAATGAAGAAGAATTTGTCAAATAAATAAACAACCTTAAAATTTTGTGATTTTAGAAGTATTTATTCTATAATCTAGAAAAATGTTTAAAAAGTGAGCAATAATTAATGATGTGTCAAATATTATTACAAAAGAGTATTTTGAATTTTCAGATTTGATGAGAAAGAAAGTATATCAGGTGTTTTGCAACTCAAGTCTTCTGTCCAAAAGGCTATCAGAACCAAACTCGTGGAATCCTATCCGCACCTAGAAAACTATATTGATAGTATATTACCGAAAAAAGATACTCTCCGTATAATAAAATGGTAAAAACATTTATTTTTGTGAATAACTCTCATACAATAAGAGCTTTCTATTTCAGTCATGATCATATTGAAATTGTAGTGAATTCAGCAGGAGAATTATTATTCTTCCGCCACAGGGAGGGTCAGTGGATGCCAACGCTCAAATTACTTCACAGATGTGAGTCCGATTATCTGTTTTTTGCTGTTGTTCAACTTTTATTTTGCAGATCCATTCTTTTTGCCCATGCAACAGGTAGATAAGGGTGCCATTAGGTTTGTACTCAGTGGCGCAAATATTATGTGTCCAGGATTGACATCACCTGGTGCCAAAATGACTGAAGTTCCCAAGGATACTATAGTGGTAAGTTTACTGATTTGGCTAATATATGTAAAATAACCTCTTCACAGATAGAATTTGATAAATGCAGATATTCTGTCTCCGTGACTGTTATTCATTTAACCTCAATTTCATTATTTGAAGTAATAATTATGTTTCCAATTCTACCTATCAAAGAACTCTACACAAAATATTAAGAAAAAATATTACGTTTATTTCAATCAAAATTGGCTGAATGAATTACTTGAGGAGCATTGAATGAAAGCACTTCCATGCACTAGGTTACAAAAGTCCCTACATTTTGAGTTACGAATATCAGAGCCTATTGAAAAAGCGTTTTTCATACCAGAACAAAAATCCTCTCAAAGCTTGTTTGTCTTACCAAGTTAGCATAATCAGAATTGACTTAAAAGTTTTATACAAATGGGTGAACCATCAACTTTGATAATGGGGTCCATTAAATTTAGGTAATGAGTATCATTAATGAATTCTTAGTGACAGTTATTGTTTTTTTGTTATTGTATTTCACTTCCTATTTATATATAAATTATTACTTGTTATAATTAATATTTACCTGGTTTTTAACTGTAATTAATATAAAAAGAGTAATCACACACTGTTTAGAATGGGGCCTTTGCCACAGTTGCCAAGAATTTCAAACATTCTTTATTTATTCTGTGGATGTTCTATAACCCATGTTTAGCAACACTAGACCGAATATGAAAAACATGTACTTCTTCAAGATGCACAGGAATCAGAACTTGAATCTATGAATTTAATCGAAAGTCAACGCAAAACCATTGAAGAGTTACAACAGAATATTAAAGATCTTCAAAAACAATTGGCCTGGATGACGGTAGAAAAAATTAGTGTATGTGTTCAAACAGAAAATTTAATCAAAATAAACAAAGCGACTTCAACCGATTTACTGGTTTCAACACATGCTAGTACCCAGAGTATGAGTTTGCAAACAGATGAAGAAACCAAAAATAACATAACACCTTCAACCAATCCAGTGGTGTTAATGCATGCTTGTACCCAAACAAGTGGTGGCCAGTCAGCGGGCGTAATAAAATCGGGAATTCATATTCCGAATACTAATATCTCTACTCGACCATCAACAACAAATTTCGTTTGTAACAGTATTAATTCCGGAAACGCTGATATGTGCCAGGAAATCTTCAGTGAAGAGAAAAAAATAAAATAATTTTGATCAGTGGACTCAGGGGTAAGGGATATGATGCAGATGTTGTTAAAACAAACTGATGGCAAATTTGCTATCCAGTCAATTCTCAAACCACATTCCACTGATGATGAACTCATGAAAACACTTTCAGAATGTTCAAAAGGGCTGTCAAAACAAGACCTAGTCATCTTCTGGCAAAATAAAATTGAAAACAAGTTAAAAAACATCCACCTGCAATTGAAACACAAACTCTATAATATTGACTGAACCTTATTGCCCTGACAATAATAACGCCAATGCAATAATCTATAAAAGAAACTTAGAGTTTGTGAAAACTGTTCAGCGGCTTGGGAAATCTAATATTAGTTTCGTGGATTGCAACAATATCCTCAGAAGGAGTAATTAAACCATTGGGGGTGCAATGTAAACAAAATTGGAAAATGGTACATAAGCAGAGCTATAATAAATCATATGAAAAGTAGAGATGTTCTGTCAAACTGTGTCCCAAGGAAATTATCCAAACCACAACTTCTCAATGCTGAAACTGTGACAAATTCAAAAAGGATGGCTACCCAAAGTTTAGCAAACGAACTTGCACTGGCAGAAAGTGAATCCGAAAGAGCAATGTATACATCGAGTGAGACATTATCACAAGTTGGTGATACATTTTTAGAGCCAGAAAGAAGTGTAAGTGAAGGTAATGATTTTTTATTAACAATCTCTCTATCATCCCAAAATGCTCTCAATCTAAGCATATGACTAAACCTATAAAAACAAGATGCGACAGTACTCTCGTAGTAGCTCATATAAATTCTCAAAATATAAAAAATAAAATAAACGAAATAGAACTCCTCTTCGATGATCAAAACATAGATATACTCTGTATATCTGAACACTGGGTTCAAAGTTCTGATATGGTTCAACTATCATTTCCCAACCTACAGGTGGCTTCTTACTTTGCTCGACAAGTTCCATATTTAGGAACTCTTACTTTAACTCGTGAACAGGTGATATGCAGATCAATAAAATATATTGAAAATATTTCGGTACAGTCGCATGTTGAAATAAGTGCAGTCACTTTAGTGGATAGTTTTAAATATAAAACAGCTATCTGTTGCATTCATAGACCTCCTTTGGGTGATTTTGATATATTCATTGAAAAATTGGAGCAGACTTGTATTTACTTGCAGGAAAATTTTAATTATTTCATTGTCTGCGGTGATCTAAACGTGAACAGTCTGGATATCACTAATAGCAAAACGAAAATATTGAATGATTGCTTAGAATCTTTTCATCTTATTAAAACAACAAATGAGCTAAAAAAAAAATATAACCATGTGAGTGCAACAGTAATTGACTACCTTGTCACAAATATTTAAAAAAAAACTTCAGTGTATTCTTATATGATACTTTCTTAGCCAAACATCTTGTCCATATTTTCTCATGCAATCTTACCAACTCTTTAGCGAATGATTCTCTGGCTACAACTACCTACTTCAATAGAAAATTTACAGATGAGAACTTACAAGAACTTAGGACACGACTAAGTAATATTGATTGGACTTTTGTAAGTGGACTTACTACAAATAATGCATTTGAGGTCTTTATGAATGAATTGACTTGGTGTCATGTACTAAAAATATGATAAATGTAAAACAAAAATAGAAAGTAAAAAAAGTTGGGTAACGAGAGAAGTTAAGAATGAAAGCGGTCAGTTGAGAGAATTGCACAAAAGAATGATAGATGGAGAAGTGAGTGACGAGATTTACAGAAGGGAAAAAAGAGAATATACAAATAGATTAACGAAGTTAAAAACAGGATATTACGCAAATCAAATAGAAACAGCTGAAAACAAACAGAAAGCTACCTGGGATATTGTAAATAGTTTCAGAGGGAAAACCAAAATTGACAATAAAAGGGAGATTCATCTTGAAGCAAATGGTATCCGGATCAATGATGGAACAGAAGTTGCCAACTCTCAATGTTTATTGAAGAAGTGCTAGAACCTGAACTAGTTTCAACAATAACCGAACTAAAAAATGAAAAATCGAGTGGCCTAGACGATATAACAATAAAAGTTCTGAAATATGTCATTCCATCTATATCTGAAATTCTATATCTAAATCTATTATATCTGAATTCTATTGAATCTTATGAATCACTCTATAATGAAAGGCGTGTTTCCGAGTGTCTTCAAAACAGCCAAAGTTATTCCTATTCATAAAAAGAGTTCACATGAAGATATAGATAACTATCGCCATACATCATTACTGAGTATTCCATCTAAAGTTATTGAAAAAATAGTAGCAACTAGAATTATTGCGTTTATCGAAAAATACAAGATTCTAACCGATCATCAACATGATTTCAGAAAAGCTAGATCAGTTGAGACTGCTATTGCTAGAAAATTCGAGTTTATTTACAATGAAATCGATAAGGGGAAGTACGTAGTTTCAATATTATTTGACTTGGCTAAGGCGTTTGATTCAGTAAATAGTGACATAATGGTTAGTAAGTTATATAACATTGGCATTAGAGGGTTCCTTCTGGAATGGATAAAATCTTTTATGGAAGATAGGAAAATGGTAGTGACTGTGAATAATGCAGTATCTGATATTATCCTTGGGGTGCCACAGGGGTCCATTTTAGGTCCACTGCTTTTCTCTATCTATATAAATGATCTTCCAAAGTATATAAAACAATGTTTCATTATCCTATTCACAGATGACACTACCATAACAGTTTCCGGAAATACTGCGGAGGAGCTAGAAAACAACATTAATTCAGTCATGGATGACATGATTTCTTGGTGTGATAGAAATCAACTAAAACTGAACGAAAGTAAAACAGTACATATAAGCTTCGCGTTAAGGAAAACAGTGAAACTCAACAACATCCAACTCTGGGAAACAGCCAAACTCCTTGGTATGTTTATAGACAAAACCTTGTCTTGGGAGCCCAATATCGATTATGTCTGCAAAAAATTGAATCAAGCGTTGTTTGCAATACGACAGATCAAAGATGTGCTTAGTTTAGATGGTATCAGGACTGTTTACTACTACGTACTGACATATGGCTCAAAATGTATTAATGTGGGGGCGAAACCTGTTTTTATTGTTCAAAAAAGAATAATTAGAACTATCTTCAATATTGAACCCAGGGATAGCTGTAGACTTGCTTACTGCAAGAACAAGATGTTAACGTTACCGTGTATCTATATATATATATATAAAGCTCTGCTCTATGTAAAAAATAATGTGCCCAATCTGAGAGATGAATCAACAGTTCATAACTATGCAACACGAAATAGACATTTATTAACATAAAACATCGACATTCAAGGATTCACTTGCATATAATGGCATAATATTATTCAATACAATTCTCACAGAACTCATTTCATAAATCCCAGACTTTTCTTTCCAGTTTTCTTGCTTTTTGGGTTGTCCAACACTTGTTGAAATTATGAAAGCCATATTCATGTTGAATTTTTGAAAAAAAAAAATCATTTCAGTTCATATGAAACCCGTTACTTTATTAGTTATAATCGTGATAACTTTTTTATGATATCTCTACTCGAGGGGAACATGACCATTTTATGAAAATGAAAATGGTTTAAGCTGTCAGGGATATATCTGAAAGTGCTGGTATTCTTCCTATACTCATCAAATTCTTAACCACTCTCATTGTTTTTCATAACTAGAACATATGTTGAAAGACTAGTTTGTTCTGGTGTGGAAAAAATGTTGTCAAAAGACTGTTTTTCGTGTCAAACTCTTCTCTTGCGATTCTGTATCAAATCTGCTCTTGAACAGAATAGCCATTAGAAAAAACAATGAGTTGCCCAATGCCTTACCGTCATGTCGTTTGTAAAAACAGTGTTTCACTGTGGAAAAAATGTTTTCAGTAGATTAATTTCATGCCCCAGATTTCAAAAGCATATATTTGAAGTCTTCTATTCGAAGATTTTGAAGTCTATGGGGTTGTGGTAAATTCGCATAATATATTTGCCAGAATATAAATGAGCTACCTTCTGATGACCTTGATAATGACCCCAAGACATATCTTCATTTGGAGGTTAATCTGTTACTTTTGCAATGAAACCCATTCATTTCCCTTATATTTTGAAAAAACCTTGATTCAACTTGAGCAAATTTTCATTTTTCAGAGGATGCTACACAACTGGGAGTTATTTTATTGAATTAGTTTGTAAATCATAGTTTGATAAAAATCTCATTTTGCCAATTAGTTTATAGATTACCTATATTGTAATTCTATTAAGAATTACATTGAAAAAAACCTATTCTTAGACATAAAATGTGATGAGAGAATAGCGATATTGAAAAATACTATTGGGTTTTAGAGAATCTGGAGAATCAGGAAGTCCAAAATCATTGGCATCGGTGATTATCTTTCACAGGGTTTAACTGAATCATTTCTCTCCATAAGAAATTATTACCATAAACAACACAACAACAAGTTTTCGATTATCCATTTCTAAAAAGAAAATTCATATATTTTTGTACTATTTTTCAGTACAACATACAAATAATTTGCTTTGTGTTCAAAATTATCAAATGCAAATTACATAAATCTATATTGTTATACTAAATAATTGTTGAATAAAGTCTTTTATAGTACACTATAAAGTGAGTTTGGAGTTAACTCAGGCCAAAATGGGGATTGTCTTAAATATACAATAAATGAATTGATTTCAAATCTCCACATATCCTTGAGAATCTGGTATACAGCTTATATTCAAGGCGAAAAACAAATAATTTAATAATTTACTTGCATTCTTGTTAGTATTTATCGTTTGATATGCCTAAAATTACTATTCTGAGTTACTATAATAAAGTAAATAAAATACAAAGTCATTTGGCATCTATCATTTCTCCATAATTCAAAATCTAGGGGGGTTTGTAGGAGTATACTTTTTTAATCATATTTTGTGAGAAGTCCTTTCCACTATCTAAAAATATTTTCATATAATTTAATTTACTTCTTTGTTTCTTATATCTAGTTTATCATTGATTATTCACAGTTTTTAAATTTCATTTTTACAGGCTATTATGGCAGAAGGAAAAGACCATGCTTTAGCAATTGGAAAAACCACATTATCAACTGAAGACATGTGAGTTATTCAATGTGTTTGTGTTTACCATAATCTAAAAATAATTTTAATTTTCAGAGCCAAAATAAATAAGGGCATAGGAGTAGAAAACTGTCATTATCTTAATGATGGACTTTGGCAAATGAAACCTGTCAAATAAAATTAGGATTTAATAAATACGATTCGTTGTGAATGATTTTTTTTTAAATAAACAATCAACGACCCAGATAATTTAAGCAGAATATTTTTTCATTTAAGTATAGTCTATTTTAAAAATTTAAGGTAGATTGAATTCTTGTTTGCTTAAGATATATATTTGTTTCTTCAGTAGTACTGCCAGGACTTTTATCAAGTGAGAAATATTAATGAAAAGAGAAATGAAAATTTCTGTTTTTTACCACTTTTATTTGTAACTAACGTTACTGCAGTTTCGTCCTTTACGGACATTTTCAAACTTATACAATATTGTATAAGTTTGAAAATACAATATTGTATAAGTCTGAAAATGTCCGTATAGAAAGAAACTGCAGTAACGTTAGTTACAAATAAAAGGGGTAAAAAACATGTAAATTTTCATTTCTCCTTTCATTATGATTTCCTACCACGTAGTATCGGCTACATCCATCAATTTATTGCGAAATATTGTCTTTCTTTCAGTTATAAAACCGAAGTAATATATATGTCAGTTATACGCCACTTTAAACAAAAATGAACATGATCACCATGTATCTCTAACTTCGCCAGGATGAAATTCGTGAAAACATGAGATGATCAATTAACAGAAAAACTTGAACATTTTTTGTATTGTAAACATCCTATTGATGTTTATTCTTTCTTCTTGCCAAACTAAGTAAATACATATTACTGGCATCGGGAAATTGAAATATTCTAAGTATTGCTAACAATTGTTGGAAACAGGGCCGTAGCGAAAAGAAAAACCAGGGGGGAAGGGAATCCAAATTTTCCCAACCCTACCAACAAAATTTCCCAACTTTCAAAAAAATGAAAGCCGAGGGATTAGTTACTACTATAATATATCAATTTTCTTACTTAGCTATCCAAAGATTAGCTGAATGCTTATGCCCGTTAGGGATGCACAAAAAACAACAAATTTTGCTAATTATAAAAATAATAATGGGAATTATTCTACTTTGGACCAAGGTCCTTGGTTTTCCACCATATCCATCATGTATAGGAATATTCAATACAAATGAAAGGAAATAACACTTAAATAATATTGTGCTTATTGTTTTCTACTCTTATTTTTCCTATCTTCACGACTCGTCATTTCCCAACTTTTCCAAGCCGAAAAAACAGCGAAAATTTGTGAATTTAGTAAAATTGTCTCTTGAAAATTTATGGACTGTTCAGGACTGTTCTCTTTCTTGGGAGAAACTAAACTTTTTTGAAGTTTTCAAACAACTCAGAATTTCAAAATAGGGGATCTCCAAGTTATGCATGTAGGGAAATCCCGACCTTCTCCTGGTTCTTTCCCTTTTCTCATTGCCTCTTCCTTTCTTTTCTCTCATTTTTATTTTTTAAATTTTAATCAATTTTTTACAATTATTTTTTTCAATCTTCACGGCCCAAAATTTCTCAACTTTTCCCAAGTCGAAAAAGCAGGGGGGAGGTTCCCCCTATGGCGACGGCCCTGGTTGGAAAAACACCTCTTGGTAGTTGATGGTTTTCGGATAAGCACACCAATAGGTCCTTGAGAAATCCATATTATGCTAGGTCTATTCAGAAAATGGAGTGAATTTTAATTTTCTTCAATAAATATTAATTCATCAAATTTCCATTTGGTCCCAGTCAAAGTGGTCCCCTCAGATATAATAAACTTGTGCCAATGTTTTTTTTCAATCCTCAAGCAGATTGGACTTTGATCTCGATGTCATAACCATATACCCATGATTAGTCACCAGTTATGACCCTATTAAGCAAATCGTTAGTCCGGAAGAAAAACGTCACAACTCAAAAATATCAGGTTTTGACTTATTACACCTGATGATTAAGAAGACCTACTGAATTTAGCTGAAAACATGTCACAAGCGGTAGTGTCATTTTTGTACGCTAGATAGCAGTTTTGTCGTTTTTCATTTCGTGGGAACCACCTATCATCTTAACAAGAAAGGCGACACAAATTAGTTGAGATCGAACATTTCTAGGAAGTGGTCGTCGCAATGCCGGGAAAAACGACACAAGATGGTAAGTTCATATTTTTATACTCAAAATGCATGTTTGGAAATTATCAAGAACGACACAATGGAATTTATGTTGTTTTTCAAGATTATTAACTCGTATAATTTAGAAAATTCACTACAATCCTAAGGTTATGATCATTTTCTTTAGAAATATGATTATAGTCAATAAACCGCAAAAAATATTCATTTTCTGAGAAATACTTTTGAGAAGAAATGCCTATTTGATATCTTTCGCTTTTTTAAGAAAGCTTAATCAACGTACCAATTTACTCATGTTGTCTTAAAACAACATGCAACTGTCGAAGATGTCCCATATTCGTCCGAACACCGTATTATGGACATCCTATCTACAACTCAAGCACGTGAGCAGAAGGAAATATTTAATTTATCGAGATAGCTGAAAACCAATTAACACGTTTTGACTGTCAAGGACTATGTATCCACTGTTCATCTTGATTGGTAGATCTTCAAGTAGGCACCAAGTATCGGTTTACATTATTTGTTCTCATTTTTTACTGAAACCAATGACAACGAAGATACTCCCACAACAGTTTCTGCTTAACCACAAATAAAAAATTCCCTAGTCTCATCAAAAGCACCTGCGGAACAGCCAATTACTGATTATTATGACTTCATTCCAACCTTCGAACAACTTACGGATGAAAATTATGCTATACTATCGGCAGCTTCCACACAAATTCCTATGGCTGGTTACCTCACAGCAAACGAGGTTTCTGCGCAACTTAGTGATTCTGATTACCACGTGATAACTGCTGCTTTTATGCCAATCTTGGAAACTGGATACTATGCTTCTGAGCAACTTTTGGAGGCTAAAAATCCTGCTTCTGGGCAAACTTCCAATACTAATTATAATATTTGGATGAATGCAGCTCCGGCACAATTTCCCAGGACTGATTATTCTGCGCAACTTGAGACTGAATACCTTTTGCTAACCGGAGATTCCGGAACACGTTCAGAGGCCAATTGTCCTGTACTACCTATGGTTTCTTCACAACTCTCAGTTTCAGAGACTGATTCTGATGACACAACACTGACGACGGCTTTGGTGCAAGTTCCAGAATCTGATAACGTTTCATCTGATGCTCAACGCGATTTTAGCTCTGACAATAGTATAAGAGACCCTGACTACACTCTAGAAATGAAAGAACGAAAGACATTTCTGTCAAGAAGAGAGAAGTGAAAATAAAGAATAAAAATGGGAGAGAAGTGACGAAAAACTGAAGCCAAACTCCTCAAAGCACAAGAAAAGACTAGCATTATCAACAGCAGGAGGTCAATCACAAATTATACTTCGAAACCTGTTTACCTTGTCAAACCGGGAATTATAGAAAGAAAAGAAGGAGGTATATTTCATTGACGAAAAAAATGTGTACCACAATGTTATGAGGACTTATCTTTTCAAATTTTTAACAAATTGAACCACAATAAAAAAAATATTTTGATAGTTATTTTACTTTTATTTGATTACCTACATTGTTTGAATATTTTCTATTCATGTTAATATTTTTCTTTCATTACGGGTCTTAACAATGTTAAAAGTAACCTATTATCTACGGCTATTCACGAAAAATTATTAGATTTTTTTGCCAATAATTTAAGTACTCGTTGCACCATAAGTGACTTTGTAATACAAACTATGTTTTTTAGACCTGTGATTGTCAATGACGTTAATGAAGTTATTGAATCATTACCAAACAAAAAATCTACAGGTTTGGACGAAATACCTGCATCAGTAGTAAAACAATGCAAAGATATCATATCTCCAATACTCGCTCATATTATAAATTTGTCGATTATGCAAGGTAAATTCCCTTCAAGTCTGAAAATAGCCTCTGTTATTTTATTGTACAAGAAGGGTGATCCTAGTAATGTTGAAAACTACCGACCAATTGCATTACTTAGTATTTTCTCTAAAATAATCGAAAAAGTAGTTGCTCGAAGAATGGAAGCGTATCTGAGTTCTTTCAATTTAATAACAAACAATCAACACGGTTTCAGAAATGGCTTCTCAACTGAATCAAGTGTGGCTGAGTACACTCAAAACATTTTTGAAAGAATGGATCATGGTGAATATGTGGTATCAGTATTGTTCGACTTAACAAGAGCGTTTGATACAGTTGAAAGGTCTTTCGTCTCAGAAAAACTAGAAAAGTTGGGTATTCGTGGCTGCCTCAATAATTGGTTTCTCTCTTTCCTCGAAAATCGAAAGATTATAGTGAAAATTGATAATGTTTTTCAAATGAATTTGATATGGATCTTGGAACCCCGCAGGGCAGTGTCCTTGGTCCGTTAATTTTTCTCATATTTATTAACGATCTTCCTAAATATTTAACTGAAGCAAAAGTTCTCATGTATGCAGACGACACATGCACAATAATATCAGATCAGTCAAAACTCGCACTTTCAGAAAAAAATACCAGAACACTAAACCAATTCAAAGATTGGTGCTATCGTAATAGATTAATGTTGAATGTTTCGAAAACGGTTTGCATTGAATACCATACAGCTCAAAAATTACCATCAGATTGCTCAATATTATTAAATAACACTTTAATCAGTACATCCAAGTCTGCAAAATTTCTCGGAACCATATTCGACTGTAATCTATCTTGGGAGGCACAAATTAATAGTGTCTGTAAAAAAATCAATCAGTGTTTCTATCTATTGACTGTTTTGAAATCGATGCTAGATAGGGATACTTTATTGAGTGTCTATTATTCGTATGCTTACTCTGCGATTTCCTATAGTATCATAGTATGGGGGCAAGGGCGTGATAACCAAAGGGTGTTTGTATTACAAAAAAGAATATTGCGATTAATTTTTGACCTACCTTATCAAACTGCATGTCGCGATGTATACAAAAACCAAAAAATTCTTACTGTTACTTCTATTTACTTATATAAATTACTGAGCCATATCTACCGAAACCGAAATAAACTGCCAAAAAGTTCTGATATTCACAGCCACAACACAAGGCATGAAAACGACTTGTTGCAAAAAAAATCGAACCACAC